TGTGTGATCTGATGTTTGAGTTTTTGAATCCTTGTGGAGCGCCAAAAAAGCCCTCTTGACAGGAGGAAAAAAATCTGTCCAAAGTAGATCTCCAAGTAAGTAAAACGTGTACGTTTTTTTTCTCCGTGTTTCAGGACACACATGGAACACTGAAAAGAAACAGCTGACTGCAAGTTATCAGGTGCAAAGCAGCCTCGGCGCGCGATAGCAGCTTCCACTTTACGTGTCCTGGCTGACAGGGGGGCATTATCTCATCTTTAGCTGGGAGTTAAGTGCCTCATGAGTTAAAGAAATACATCTTTTTTCCTCTCCCACTCAATGTTCATTCATTCAGCTTGGGAGAACTATAAATGAATTGCAAAGCCACGACCTGCCTGCTGTCGTGGGTCCCCAATTAGACTGTTTTTCACCCACTGTGCCCTTTCCTTTCGGTTCTGGCACCGTTAAGCTTCTCCGCCACACGGTGCCGCTCCGATGATTATCACAGCAATCACCACAGGCACCGACAAAACCCAGTGAGCAGCTAGGACACCCCGCGGCTTCGCATACCTGTACCTGTTGGTAGGAATGACGTCAGCCAAGTTTGGGCTTGCAAACAAACAAAGAACAAAGTTCTCTGTCGCATTACTGTTCTCGTTACCTTGTGTTTTTCTTCAAATTCGAATGGACTCCGGGATAAACACTCAAATTCTCACCCAATATTTCCATCGTGAGGAAAAGCACCAAATATGCGACTGCTCTGAGATTGTGTTTGTTTTATTGAGAGTATAATGTGATCGTGTCTTTGCAAAAAGAACATACAGTGGATACAGAGTGCCTCTCTAACCTGTGGCCTTTTCAGTTATTGAGGGCCGCTTAATGACTTTGAGGCCCACTTGAACTCTTGCTAAATACTGTTAGACTTTACATGCAAAAGGAGGGAAATGAAATGTCCCCTCCTTGTGTTTCGTGACAAATAAAGACACTTTTTTTAAATCAGAAATTGCTTCTAATATGGTCCTCATCAAGTTACATCTACTCTCTCAACACTCTTGTCCTTCAGTCACCGTGGGTGAAACCGTATAGCAGTGTCAGCCAAAGTGGGGCACAGCAAGGTCCACAAAGAGGCAGCATGTCATCAGAGGTGGGAACACATGACACTGACACCGCTGGCAGAGGATGCGCTATGCTGCGGAGTTCCACGACGCCTGCAGACTTTTTTTTAAAGGACCCATGTAACAGAACTTTTCATCTTGGCTTTACGATAAAAGTTGTTGTTTTTGCAGGGAACACATGGTTTCAGAAAGTACATTGAGTAAACAGATGGTCACTGAGCACAGCAAGTGCAATTAAGAAACTGTTATAGTTGGACTAAATTGGGGGTGTTTGATGCCAAGGTGATTTAGATCCAAGGGAAACATTAAGCAAAGTGACCGTAAACCAACTTTTTTGAAGTAAATAAAAAGAGCATTTATACGTGAGAGACATGAGTACTGTCTTTCCTTAATCTCTGTTCTGGCGTAACAAATTCAACCCAAGAAACTTCCCGTTTGATCACCTCGCTCATGAAATATATACACAGATGCCCTGATGAAGCCTGGTCTAAAGGATTATAGTTTCTCACAAAACAAGTCTTTCAAATGGTTTCCCTCATGATGAAAACAAGACAGGATGCTGCCAAATCAACATCTACTACTACGTGCAACGTCTACAAAAGGGGCTTTGTTTTCATTTCACAGTTATCTCTTTATTAAGCTCCACAGCGCTGAGCCAATTTCATTTTTTTTTCCTCGAATCTCCCGACACAGCCCGACGGATATGTACCTAATTGGAGGTGCATGCAAATAGCACTTAACTCTGCATTAATGCCTCAACATATTCATTACAATGAGAGAAATAATACTGTAACAGATACCAGAGGTGTAATGAAGCCATGCAAAAAAAAAAGATCAACTTTGTCAGGCTCAAAGAAAAGGCTACACTGACCATCACAGACGGCTCTATCGCATGAGAAGAAGCTAAGAGTGTCGTCCTGACAAAAATAAATCCACACAATCTACAGGACGAAAAGGCATCGCAAATCACTGCGACAGCATTCACACGGGGCACGGCCTGTAGGCGATATGGTCAACATCTTCTGTCACTATATGGCTCATTTCATATCTCGATAATGAAATAAATAAATGCAAAGCAAGTTGTCCGGTCATTCAATAAATAGGCTATGTGGTGAAGCTTCTTTTTGTTCACTCCTGTGGGAATGACGGACTTGACAAATGCAAAGTACAGATTACTTTCTCATTTGATTAAGAACTTTAGTGCAAAATGAACAGTTTCAAGGGAAACAAAGACAAAAAGAATGGAAGAAAAATGAATAAATATTTCCGCTGACTGTATGTTTAGACGCATGCAAACAAATACAGAGTAATCAGATCAAGACAACAGTTTGATTTAATTACACTTAAGTTATTATGTGCTTGTTTTTGTCAATTTATTGTTATTATGTGCTTGTTTTTGTCAATTTAGACGACTTAATTGTGTTTTGCGATATCGCTATATGGTCAGGAAACCATTCAATTGACAGACGATGGATTATCACACTGAATATCTCCCAGCCCCATTTGGTCTTCTCTTCTGTTGTTATCAAGGGAAAGCTATATAACACCGCGTCACGTTCTATTCCATGAGCTGTATACCATCTCACTGTAGTCGAACAGCAAGCCAGAGCAGTCAGTTGAGGCCGTCCCTTTCCCGGCATGAATCAGAAAATGCCCTTATCTACAGCAGAACAGGTGCATCTAATGTGATTTCATTGGCACCGAGCTGGGCTCACAGCACTCGTTGTGTTTCCAGCCGCGCAGCTCAAACCGCTCGGTGTGTGTTGTTGGCTTCCCGGGGGACAGAGCAGCGCTGCTGCCGCCTGCAGAACGTGAACACGACGCCTGCCAAGGTTCACCACTCAGTATATTTCCTTATTAGTCCTGTACTCATTTCATCCCCTTGTTGTTCAACTGCTGTGCAATCTCTTCACAGCTTTGGTTCATGCCAGGGAAATCTATTCCCACTTGTATTTATGGGGAACAGATTCGATCTTATTCCGCAACAGGAAATTGAATTATTTCTGGAGAGAAAGTGTGGTGGTTAAAACCCACAGATTCCCACAGATAAGGGGGCCAGTAAAACAAACAGTAGCAGCCAGCCCGCCATCAAAACATTCCAGCAGGGGTGGAATTATTATTTATTTTTTTCATGTCAATCAATATGTCTGCCAACTTGCATACAATGTGCCAATGGCTCGTCAAACAGAGAATTGTAAGAGCTTTAAGTTAGGCATGCACGTCTCTCAGAACTTTAAGTAGCGAATACGCTTCAAAGGCATGAACCTTAGGAACCGCGTCATCAGTCTGCGTATAGGACTTATTAGTATTCAAGGACAGTTTTGCACAAATACATTTAAACTGAGTTTTATATATTTTTTTTTCCATCAGCGCCTCATTATCCCTCAAACGTTGGGACTTTTCCTCAGGACGCTTCGCCGGAATTCAGCATGGCAAAAGAAAAAAAAGAACATGTTATCATCAAATGAGCCGAATAAATAAATGGTGATTCCAGCTTGTAACTCAACCATGTGCAACATTTAAGCGTCGAATAGATAATATAGCCTACGTCAGCAGCGTTACACCTGCTGCATTATTACCCCCCCTTACATTAGTCATGATTAAAAGTAACAACTTTACTAAATGTTTCTCTCCTATTGTGCCATACTTAACACAACTTAATAGCATGATTCATTTTCATTTTCAGAGACAAATTCTATTTCAAGACAGTTGTGTGATGTGAGCAGCTCTATTACAAAAAAAATACTCAAATCCAGAGCAACTGCTGCAGAGCTGCTTGTGAGTCTTTATACAATGCTGATGTAGAGCAATGGGAGCTTGCAGGAAATCATATCCTTTTACAGATAACACGTAATGTATCCCTCGCTCTGCGCGTGACGGAAATCTATACTGACCGCAACATTTCTGCAGGTGAGTGAAATGGTAATGTCAGGGGGGGGGGGGGCCATTTAGCAAATCGCCCGACCATAGCCTCTAGATGATGACAGCCTCGATACGTGGAGCTGCCAGGTGTAGCCTACATCTCCGCGCGACAGGATTCCTCTTGGGTTTTTTACCCAGCATCGCTCCGGTCCTCTCCGACTATTGCATTATGAACGTTTTGCCACTTCCACCGAGCGAGACAAACGCGGCGCGCGCGCAATTTAATCCACAGCCTATCATTTTATTAACCAAATGGCGTGAATAACAAATAAATAAATGTTTAAAAACAACACACGCACGCCCGTGACACACATCGACCTGGTAATACACTTTTCATGATGGAATTAAATCCCCTGGCTGGAGTAACATCGACAGGAGAAGCCCGGGGCAGCATTAGTGTAAGCAGCGCGCGGGGCTTTCCCCGCAGCTTCTGTCACATCGGGTCAATAATTATTGCAGAGAGAGTGTTTCTCTTACAGCCGCAGCTCGGTGGAGGTCAGTGACATCCAATCTGCTCCAGGAGTCGAGGTCGAGTTTGAACTGTCCATTGCGATATAAGCCCGAAGGCTGCTGTACAGTAACCGCACATTTCTGAGCAGAAGCTATGAGGATTTATTTTTTTTTATATATTAAAGTGATACAACATGCGGGGAGGGGGGGGTAAAACAACAACTCCCCCACTACGTGGTTGTAGGCTACCTTGACAAGCTTATATCGCGAGCGCAGATGCATCTTTATGGGGGCTCGGATTTGTAAAGACCAGCTGATTGGACAACCGTTAAAAATGTCAACAACAACAAACAAACAGAAAGAAGAAAAAAAATCACCACTCACAAGTCTGTAAGCAACAGAATGTGTCACCTTGCGCAAGCATTTTATTATAAAGAAAACAGCATTTTAGTCTCAATCTATATAAGTTTTTTGTTTTGTTTTTAAACGCTCCGTCGCCACACATGCACCCCCCCTTACCGGACTCTGTCTCACCTGCGTTCCTGAGCTTCTTGTTTCGGTACACGGAGAAGATGACCAAGAGATTGCCCAGGATGTCGACAACGATGGTGAAGATAAGAAAGCACCCCAAAGTTGTGGAGACCCACGGTGGGCGGTTCAGGACGGTGTCACTGGGGTCTGTCGAGGAGCTGTTCAGGTGAGACTCATTTATAACCATTTCGCTGAACTTTCCCAACTTGCCCAAATTCAAACGTGCCTCCACTCCCCGAGGTCGTCTTCTAACGCTGGGATTTCGGAGACAGCCGGTGGTGGGATACTAAAGCCTCCAGTGGCTTTCTCCTTCATCCTTTCCACGCGCGCTTCTCCTCTTTTTTCCTCCTTCTCCTCCTTTTTCTTCCTCCCCCTTGCGTGGACTTCGCCCTGCTTCCGTGGATCAGCTCTGGTATTCTCGGTGTCACTCCTGCGCCCGTGTGCCATTCACTTTGTCGGTACGCATGTGTGACATGAAGCTGCCAATTTACCAACCTTCCCAGCATGTGATCGAGGGTCCGGAGAGGAGTGCTTTTATTTTGGAGGGAGAAATACTGCCGCCTGGTGGAAGAGAGGCGCAACAGCAGCGCGATGGCTCGGAAGCGTCCTACTTCTTTTTTTTTTTTCTCCATTTCCCGGATGCGTGTGTGTTCATTCATGGCTTTGTGTTCGCTCGCTTTGCTCTATCGCTGCAGCCCATTCATTATAATCTGGATGAATCATTCATGGTTTATCTGTGTCCGGAAAAAACACCGCATAGCTTACTGACGGCGCCATTGAAACAAAAGGAAACGTACATAGTGCAGGTGATTGAAGGTGATTCGGTTTGAAGAATTTCCTGATTTAAATTTCCCAGATCCCACAAGGCACACTTATAAGTACATACATAATAAGAACGCAGTTTAGTTTGAGCATCCCTGGAAATGTATGATGGAGTTTCTATACTAGAATAGCCATTATGCTATTGTTAGTTAATGATATTCATGACAAATTAGTCACCCCC